TATATACCATTTTGTAGAGAATTAAATGATGAATCTTCTGCAAAAAACAGCTGAAATGTATCACATGTATTTCATATAAATAACGTCAATTTACAAAGCGGGTCAGAACTTAGTATACACCCTTTATATAGGTACGTACAAAAGATAAGAAAGCAAGAGAAGAATGAATTTTACATTTTCATGGAATTATTTGTATAACAGGACAGCACTCACTTTGAAATTACCCTTAATTACATCAACTTTACAACTTAAAGTACAATTAACTAAAATATACTTAACTGTGATTTTTACGTCCATCTGAAGCACGCAAGTTAAACTCCACGCTCTGATTAACTTTAGTGAATTAAATTCTTCGTTCCAATTAGAAACACATTTCGCTGTACAGTTCCCATTCGGCACAGAGCCTAATTTGAACCAAAACAACCCTCTCCTTAGTAAATCTCTCTGATCCGTCTCCTATGGGAATTTCGGAATAATTTTTAGATCATTAAATAGCCAAGACCTTCAGCTACAAAAGTCTCAGGTTCAGTGAAAATCGATTTAAACCTCACTGATGTACTAAAGTTACAAGCTAGACAAATCTGGTATCGGTTCCAATTAGACACTTTACTTTACCTTGTTCATCTTCTTGTTCAACACGTATAGCTGTTATTTCTTCAGCTTTATGTATGTTCATCACCCAATTCCGAATATGAATATTCATTACGGAGAACAAATAAAAACGTTTCGGAACTAAGACAATATAAGTCGTTAATCATCAATTGGTTACTAGTGTTTTTTCAGTTTCCGTAACTTTTTAGACGTCGATGAGCAGGTTCAGTATCAGCGTTCGGAGATACGATTCAGCTGAAATCTACCCATAAGTGTGTACTGATGGACAGACACCTGATCGCAAAAGAAATGAAAAAAAGGTATACAGGATACATTTCTGTAACATCCGGTTCTTACAGCTTTCCACATTGATCTGTTGGGTTTCTTAGCTAGAGTATTTATTACACCATCAACCACCATAGGATGAATTTGGTTTTCATGTATAGGGTCTTCTAAGATACGTTAGTTGAGAAGCGGCACTATTTATTTTAGAAAACGAGGGATTTCTGCCACAGCCTTGAGTAGTAGTATTTGACTCTAGCTGTTAAAATTCTCTTTCACCCGATCAACTAGCATCGACTCATAAAAAATTAATAAATTGAAAGGAACAAGTGCTATCCGTACCGGTACCGGTCGGTATTGGCTTGTCTTGATCATATTTTGCCTAAATACAAATACTTTTTCCTTGTTTTTCTTTACTGTGAGCTTTATTTTACGTTATCAAAGGGATAGATCAATCATTTCACTTTGATTACGTATAGCTGATTTTCCACACTCGGTGGAATAATTATTTAATTTCAAATGAAATTAGTGCGTTATCGACAGAAAAAGAATTTACAGTTATAAAAATATCTACATCGCTTTTGATCAAATTGTTAATTCTGTCATTATTCCAGTATTTCTATTGGATGATAATATTATTCTACTGAGGAAAAAATTGAACATATTGTTGAATTCGAAGCCGTTCACCTACAGTTCAGGCTTTGTAGTAGTCTTTTCTTAATCGAAATATATTTTAATAAAACTGTTTTTATCTACATTATCCACTAAGTAATTTGAGAAATGAGAAAACAAAATGAGATAACTGAAGAGTTTAAGGGAATATGTCCGTATTAAAGGATGATGATGGCATATGTATTCTATCTTTGACTGGTATTTTTCGAGGAGTGACCAACACTATAATAATGATTATAGCGGTAACAATGACTAAACCGATGACAATAGCACCAACAGAAATAAAACGTTTTCTATTCCGACGATAATTAGCTTGAGATTTTGGGGATTTCACAGCAAACAAACTCTAAACAGTGAAGGAAAACCATAAGTGAAAACTGATATGGTATGGTCTACAGCTGTGACATACGTGCGCCAATGTTTGTAAATTATCGGCTCTCGTCTCCAAATCTGGTAAAGATAATAGAGCATTTAATATAATTTCATCTTCTGTTTGATCATGATTATTCAAATTTGTTTCTTCTTCCTTAATGACTTTATGTATCTCAGATCTAGACTTAATGACCTATTATGAACGAGAAGAAGAGTCAGAAACAAATTGTTGCTAGAACTTTTTTTCAGTGTTGTTGTATATGGCCTTTGTAAGCTAAACAATCCTCTATCGAATGGAGTGTAGGCCACTATTAACGGTTGAGTAAATTTAAAAATAAGATAAACATTAATTTTAGTAAGCCTTTTCAACCTCTTAGCTTCTCCCATTCCTGGCCTGTGGGATTTTCCTGGCAAAAAGCCAGTATCATGAAAATTTGCGTTGTCAGTAGGCATGCACCGGTTTCGGTTAACCAAGATCGATCATAACCGAATGTGTTGCACAAGTCCTTGAAAATACGTTTGACACCACAATATGAAGGAAACATCTGTTGTTCAATCAACAACTGTTCATTTCGGAAGAAAGATGCACGGTATACAAAATCAGAAATAAGCCAAATAAGTGGTATTTCCGACCTTTCACCATGAAGGAGGAGTTTCCCAGTATTGAGTTTAGCAACAAAAGTTTAGCAAATTTAATATCCTAGATTTTGTCTGTTAGGTGCACCTTTATACAAATCGATCTTCATAATGAAAACTGATATTTATTGCTCTTCATCGTGAAGATCGATTTGCATAAAGATGCTGGTGAAAAGTCGGAAATACCACTTATTTGGCTTATTCCTGATTTTGTATACCGTGCATCTTTCTTCCGGAATGAACAGTTGTTGATTGAACAATAGATGCTTCCTTCATATTGTGGTGTCAAACGTATTTTCAAAAACTTGTGCAACATTTTCGGTTATGATCGGTTTCGATTAATCGATTAAAAACCGAATCTGGTACATGCCTAGTTGTCAGGCTATTTCATCTAATGTTGAAGCATTCATTATTCACTTTAAAAACATCACAACAAATTCAAAACTTCAGAATACGATTAATTTTATCCGCTAAATATGATCGTAAGATCGAAAAAATCGAAACAGCATGTTTTGGTTAATGGGTTTTCTAGAATATCCAAAGGTACCGGTAGCAATATATTCTTTTTTATAACATACCTAGATAGCCCCAAATGTTGCCTTTTGTCATTTGACAGTGATATCCACAAACGTAGCTAAACCAGAGATTTATCAACTCCAGTGAGTCTCATAACAATGTTTGTTTTTACTTTGAATATTAAAAATCTAGTAAAAAACTGCTTTCATTGCAAAACCCGATGTAGGCTATTTTCTTGCAAAATTGAGAAATTTGTACCGCACTCACCATCAGTTTAAGAAGTTCAAAATATACTCTATCTCAGCTTCTTTATGCATCGATAAACGTAGGAGTACGACACACGCCCAAAAAACAATGGCTCAAATCTTCTGTAAGGTTTTCTTTGTAGAGCTCCGAAAAACACGTCGATTCTCTTTGCCCGTTGAGTCAACGGGCGAAGGCGATTCTGTGGGTCAACGGCGTTGACCCACAGAATGGTACAATGCAGTGAAAATAGAGTAAAGTTTTGTGTTTTTAATTAGTCATTTGGTCTCGGCTTACCTTTCTCTTTTTATTCATAATTCAAGCAGTATTCATGTTCATCAATTTATTATTGCGAGTTGTTATTTTTCAATGGAAATATTGTTGTTCTTTTTTCTGCTACTAGTTAAAAATTAATTGGTGAGACTACAATTTAAGAGAAAAGTAGAAAGAGAGAGAGAGAGAGAATCAATATTTTTTGCCTCGAACAGTTCTTTCTTTTTGCATAATGGATGTAATCGTTTTGTGTGACACAAAAAACGAAAAACATCTAAATGGAATGGAATAAATATATTTTCACTTTTTCTATATAAGTTCTATATATAAGTTACCTATATAAGTAAATTGCGCTGCCATTGTACAATCGCTATAAAATATGCAAAATTCTTATACCTTTTGTATTGCTAAATGAATCTAGTTAAAATTTTTGTACGCTACTCATTTCGACTTTATTCACTAAAAAAATAAGTTCAAAAGATCTAGTTGTTACTGAGATATGAGAGATTTCCTAATACAAAAATTAATTCTAACGACACGTATCGATAATAAAATAATTTTTTTCTAATTCAAAGAAAACTTATCTCAATTTGCTTCTAAAGTGAAAATTGTAGTAAACACTTAACTCTTTCAGAACATATACATAAGTTTATAATACGTTAATGGCTGTCAATAATGGCGTGTTTTCGTATGTCGAGATTGAATGTAAATTTACAGCTACTGAAATATGCATTTACAGCTACTGAATGGACTACTAACAGACAGTGCATCTGATATTTTTAGACACAAGTTTTAATTATTACGACATACGATTACATGTTCTATGTTATAGTCCAACAGTTCAATAGCAAGTTTTCACATTTCTGCTTCGTAGAAGCAGCGCTGACAAGCTTTTTTTCGTGTCTGTTGTGATGTCCATAGGTGTATTGACTAATACTTAAGAAATTTGCTAGCTCCCTCTTTTACTATTGTGTTTGTATTCATACAACTGATTATAAGTCTTTTTTGTGATTCTATGGAGATAATACGAAAAAAGATAGAAGAATTTTGCTTAGTGATAAGTCTCTTTTTAGTAAGACGCCGCTAATTCAAAAATTCAGCACATTTCTGGTTTTGCTGAGGAATATTACCTTTTTAGCCTTCCCAGTGCATACTGTCACGGAGAAAATTCGAAATACTCTGAGGGTCTCAACATCCAGAAAAACCTTCGTGTTTCGGAAAAGTTGAATATTTTTTGTCCTTTGTATTTTGAAGTTTCCAGACATTTTTTTCGGATTCAGCATTGGAAACTGAATTAGGAAATGTGTATTGGAAGATTTCTATATGTAATGTGATTGTAGGATAAATTCGTTTACAAGCATAGCTCCAAAGCGAAAGCTTCGCCCTAGATATTCAATCTTATATAATTTACTGACTTGAGCTATTCTTTCATATGGTATATTAAGCATGGATATTAATCCTGCGACTGAAGAGAAATAAAAAATCAAAGTTGGTTCATTGTAAGAGAGACTGAAACTTGACATCATTAAAAGGGTAAATAGAATATAACCTTTTTAGCAAACAAATATAAGAGTCTATGTAATTTTCAATGTTCTACATGATGAAAGTGTTGAATTTTTTGTGACTCTTATGTCATGTAATGATGGGCGGACCTAAATGGAAGTATCCTCTAACAGGATATTCAGTATGCTGTCCGTTGAAAAATCCCTTACGTAATTATAAACACCATACAACAGACTATTCTCAGAAGCTTTTTGGGGAACAGCTGGAAAATCGGGCGAACAATATGTTTGAATAAAGCCGATTCACCCTCACCAACTACTAATCAACTACGTCCTATACTACTACCGATTTTTAGTAAAGTGTACGAAAAACTTTTTTTGCTGAGATTCAACCGCTGGCTAGAAGCAAAAAATATACTCCCTCAGCAAGCAGGGTCTGGATCACATATATCAAGTACAATAAAAGCCAACATTTTATTAGAACAATTAACACAATCAGATCGTTACAACGTCTTCGCTCCAGCTGCTTTTGTGGACTTCCTGCAAGCGTTTGACATGCTATGCGAACAAGGCGTATTACTAAAGCTACGCTGAATAGAATGTCCATTTGCCCACACTCACTTGGATCACTCATTATTTCACCGATTGAAAACTGCGAATTGATTGTGGTATCAGATAAAATTCCCATCGCAAGGCGAGCTCCGCAAGGGAGTTGTCACGGCCCGAGGTTATACATTGTCAATAACTGCGATCTACCGTATATTTTCCAACAGCTAGATAACTCACACCTCTATGTCGACGATTTGAGCAACGCGTACTATCCAAATATATTCATGAAGTTTCGTCATCAAGTAACAGAGATTGAGAAGCGCATCAATAAGGATATGCAGCGTTTAAAGAAATATGTGGATGACCGGCACCAGCCAGTACATATATCGAAAACGGAACTAGTGTTTTACTACAAAATAGTGCAATGTCCAAAACTAAAATCTATTTTAACAGTGTATTATTAAAACAGTCGAAACTTTTTAAGTATCTAGATTTCCTTTTGGATTCCAAGCTATACATTAGACTCGTGCATTTTTTTATCATAAGAAAAAGAAAAGAAAATCGCTATTTGTCGTAGCTCTATTATACATAAAAAGCTATTTTTTTCAAAATATTTTATTTAAATTTTAAATAAAAAGTTTTAGTTTTTAAGCAATTTTTTTATTCCTAATTAAAATTTTCACCTTCAAAACACATTTTTCAATTTATTAACTTAATGATTAAATATATTACTTATATGTTAGTCATCAAACTGAGCAAAAATTCTAATTGTTGAGAAAAATCAAATTAATTGAGTATCTGAGCAGATACAAATTTTACTCAGCAAAGATTAACTTAGCATTTAGGTAGTTTTACGTAGCAAAAAAAAATATTAGCCTTTGAGAAATATCAGGAACATAGAGAAGACTTTACTGTATCCAGCGGTAAAAGAATTGTTTTCTCATCTCTGTTTTTTCAAGAGATATTGAACCCACAAAAACATTTTTGGAGTGTCAGAATACTTATTTCATGCGCTGCTGCGTTTAGCCTGTTTAAGGCTCTCTCTCCCCCCTCTCTTAGAAATAGTGATTTTCGATCAAAACATCGGTTTTGAGATAAGCACATGGGAAGATAGCCTGCAATGTCTACTTTCAGAATCTGTATCGCTTTTAGTTACAAAAGTGGTTTTTCGCGGATTTTTGGCAAGTTTTCCAGGAGCCTCGACAACTGGGTCTTCAAACAATAGCTTTTTCCTGGATTCTTATGCAACTAAAATTTTTCTGAACACGCAGATTTGTAGAGCAAACGTTTCTGATCAAAATAAGACCTCGCACGACTCTGTATGACCTTGCATCAAAAAGTTACAAGCATTTTCTAGGAGTTCTAAAATTGAGTATTCCCTACAGCGTTTAATACGCGTTTTCTCTATATAAGAGTTACAGCTGAAGTATTTTCCAAGATTTTTTATAGCGGTTTGTCATAGAGGTCATAGAGAGTTTATTATTTTCTTGTTTAAAAGAGGGAAAAAACTACATCGTCTGACCGGCGCTGATTTTTAAATTAGGTCTTAGTTTTTTATCAAATTAAGAATTTTTGGAAAATCCGGAAGGATCTTTTGGGTTTTGGAGGTCGTTAGTTACCTGAAAAACCAATAAAGGCTTAATTGAAAAATCGGCGCCGGTCAGACCATGTAGTTAGGTGTCCGGCTTAAAGCAAAACAAACCCGAACTCTCTAGCTTGAAGTATATTAAAAAGTCTTGAGAAACACTTCAGGGTCCTTCTTGGACCGTGATCTCTGGAAAACTTCCGAACGGTAAGACTTGGAGATAGAAAAATGTTTTCATTCTCGTAACTCATTAAGCCAAACATTTATGGAAAGTTTTGTCAAGATCCGATGTACGGTGGCGGAGATAATTTCTGTGGGTGAGAGGGGACTCTTAAGCTTATTACCATCTTGTAATTGAATCTTTTATTATATTATTGTCTTATCTCACAATATAACATACAACAAGGTAAGATTTGTACTAGTGTGCAAAAGAATAAAAAAATTTGAATTATTTAATAATTCACCTTAAAAGGTGGCAAAGCAAGCAACGAAACATGAAATTTGCCTCGTGCTTTTACGATAGTAGTTTTAACGATGTAATGACAACCGAATATTTTTTGCACAAGAAAATATGGTAAGAAGTAAATTTCTTAGTTACTGTGAAATATAAACTAAAACTCACTAAGACTTCATATTCTCAGAACTGACTGGAAACTCGATGAAGCACTTTTTCGTTTTTGCTTCAAGTTTTTAACTATTGCCGTTCACCAGTAGTCCAGAAAACTCAGTTTTTACTGGCCCACATTACGACTTTCCTTGAACTTCGTCCGATCGAGTTCAAAGTTTTACCAGAGGGTACTCAAAGTCATACTGCAGAGGTCTATTTTTGGAAATCTTTTTAAGACCTTTCCTGGTTGAGTTATAGCAAAAATACTGAGAAACGGCGCAAAAACCAAGTTGTTTAGTTTTAGAAATCCTATAACTCGGTAAAGAAAGGTCTAAAATAAAACTCCAAAAATATACCTCTGCAAGACTGTCTTGAGCTCTTTCCTCTGGTAAAATTTTTAACTCGGCCGGATGAAATCTAAGGCGGGTCGTAATGTGGTTCAATGAAGCTCGGTAGCAAAAAGATTAGTTTTCAAGAAAAAACACATTTTGTACATAGGCCACTTTTTTTAGACCGTTTACCGCGATGCGTCTGTCTCCACGAAAACTCATCGTAAAATTCTCGGAGACGCCTCATTGTGAAGAAAACACTTTCGCCTATCAGAATACGTGTAAGAAAAATGTTGAATGTACAGAAAAGTAGAGAAAAGTTTATGGGACTAAAAAACAGACTTTTTTTAGGCTTTTTGAAGGAAAAACTTCAAAAATACATCAGTTTTCGAAGAAAGATCGTGAAGTGCTGGAGGTGATCTCATTTTGCAGTCTACACTTTCCTCTACATTAGACTATCCTCAGCTCAAAATCCAAAATTTTTTCAAAAAAGAGAGGGGGAAGGGTTTCGTAATTGTTATGAAATCTTTTATTTCTTTACAGGCGTTAAAAATAGCTGGTTCCCCCAGCACCACATTCGATCATTCACCGTTCAATAGAAATGAAGGTCTTTACGATATACAACCTGTGTGGCTTGACGCAAATATTGAGAAGAATGATGAATGTTTAGAAATCGTTCATGTTTTACTTTCCTGCATTAGTTATATGAAAACATTTAATGATGTTGATGTATTTACAGAATATATTGAGTCGGTAGGTAAGGCGGAGCAAATCTTTTGTATTCTATCTGGAGAATTTGCCGAAAATATTATTTCACAAATTCATAATCAAACACAAATTATATTTATTTATATATTCTGGATGAATGCATCCACATATAAAGAATTAAATATTTGTAATCCAAAAGTACGAGGAATATTTACTGATAAATGTAAGGTTCTTGAAAAATTAATACAAGACATAAAGTTCTGTTCTCAGATTTCATTCTCAACATATAGACACAAAAATAATAATAGTAATATCAAACTTCTAACAATTCCATCATTGAATACAGAAGATATAAAATTTTTATCACATGTGTTTGTTACTAAGCTTTTATTGAAATTACCATATCCAAACGGTGAAGATAAATCTGAATTAATAAATGAATGTCGAATACATTATAATAACGATTTTATAGAACTTGAACGAATTGATGAATTCGAGAAGACATATTGTCAAAGAGAGGCAATTAAATGGTATACAAGGGATTGTTTTGTTTTTCGATTGATTAATAAAGCGTTGAGAACACTAAATTTGGATATGATTTATAAATTTCGATTTTTAATTAATGATATTCATTGTCTATTACAAAATGCATACACATTAAGAGCTCGACATAATCTAGACAGAACGTATCAAACGACAACCGTTTATCGTGGTCAGTATTTAACAAATGAAGAATTAAAAAGATTACAAATTCATAAGGGTTCATTTATAGTATTTAGTAGTTTTCTTTCGGCATCAACATCAAGCAGCGTTGCCTTATCATTTGCTGTAAAAGATTGTAACACATTTTTGGAATCTGTATTATTTGAAATAAAAATTGAATATACAGGTTTATTAAATATGCCGCATTTGAAAGTAGAAAAATTTAGCCAATTTAAAAGCGAAAATGAAATGTTATTTTCACTTGGAACTATTTTTCAAATTGAATCTGTTAACGAACATTCAGACACTTTATGGGTTGTTCAGCTTAGATTAAGCAACGATCAAACGTTGAATATTCCACAAAAATTGAAAGATATTTTTCAAAAATCGAATTCACATGAACATCTTGAAAGGTTTATTCTAACAGATCAAGTATTTAAAGCCGACGAACAAGATTTTATTAAAAAATGTTTTACAGAAGAATTTACAAGTAATACTAGTGCAAAAGCTAGTTTGTATATAAGTGTTGGACGTTTATATGGTAAAATTGAAAACTATGAAATGGAATTAATACATTATGATAAAGCAGTTAACAGCTTACCTACTAATCATTCTTTTCGATCACTAATATATCATAGTATTGCCACAATTAACTTTGAACATTCGGACTTTGACGCAGTATTGGAAAATTGTCAGAAAATGATTAACGCTATGACTTCTAATACGAAAAATTTGGCTGGTTTAATATGTCAGAATTTTGCTAATATTTATGAAACTATATTTGGTGGTAACGAGCAACCAATAGTAATAAAAGTTTGCATTGAGGTTATGAATCTTTTATTAAAATCTTTCCCTGATTATTTTCCAAAATTTGTTCCATACTACGCCATACTCGCTTACATTTCTGTGATAAATAATGATTCTTCCATGGCAAATGATTACTTTAACAAAGCTGTTAACGATAAAAAGTATTATTATTATTTATCAGCAGTATTCTACAAAACATTAGCTGATTTATATTATATAAAAAATAAACATTCTGAGGCCTTCAAAAATTACGAAAACGCACTTGACCAATATAGAAAGGCTTACGAGCGCAGTTCAGAATGTTATTTCATTGATCAGTCATTTAATATATCTTTATTCTCTAAACTAAGAGACTATAATGAACGAGCTGGAAAGTATGCAAAAGCGTTAGAATATTTAGAGATAATGATTCGAATAGAGAATGATTTGGTTGTTGATTTTGTCTACCATGGCCGATATCAATATTTAGAAAAATTTCTCATAAATTCCAGCGGTTATAAATCTCAAAATGATAGAAATTACATTAAAGGACTAGCTGAAAATCAAATCGAACTACATCGAAGCATTATTAACTATTTCTTATGCTTCGCTTTATATCAGCGTAAGCACAAAAACTATATACAAGAATTAGACTGTTATGAAAAATGTATAAAAAAATTACCTATGGGACATAAACTAGTTCCGTTATTTTATCATTGTATTGGAAGTATTCATTACAACCTTAGAGATTATGAAACTGCAATCGAAAATTTGAAGAGAGGAATTTATTTTGGCATCAACAAGATTAATTATCCATCAGTTGCTTTATCGTACGAAAAATTAGCAGAAATCTATGACCAAGAAAACCAGTTTACGCCCTCACATCTTGAGCCAGGTTCATTAGTATTAGAGAATTACAGAAAAGCTATTGAAATACGTTTCGATACTTAAGAAACAATGATCCAACAATTGCAACATTATACGAGCAATTCGAAACAATGGAGAGCAAATATAATCCAACTGAACTGGTACCTAGACCTCCTAAACCTCCGCTTCGACGATCGAACATGTGTAGTGTGATCTAAAAATATCACCTCGAATGCGATATATTTGGATACTGATGGTTATCAGATCACATGTCGGAATAGTAGGAAAATATTTATAACCGCTACAACACATTGGAGATGTGCAAGAAAAAAAATCTCATTATCATAAGACTGGAAATGGCAAACTATTCGTGAATATGGCAAAAGTCATAGAAATGGAATAGGGATTGCAACGTATTTGTAAGAATGAAAACTCATGTATTGTATTTGTCCGTTTAAACACTTTGTTTTTATTTCGAATTTCAGTTCATAAATCGGTATGTGGTGATCACACCAGTCTCTCACTCAAATTCTAGTTCCTCTCTAGAATTAATCAATGCTAGTGGATGCTACTTAATATGGTGCCTTACACTTTTATTTGCAAATTAACGTTATATTGGAAACCGTGAAGTAATACGCCATTCGATTTATTTTCGAATACGTCAGAGATTTCTAAGTGCAACAAATCTCTGTATTTGCCTTTTCAAAATGTTACCGATAGCAGTTATTTGTACTCGGTTTTAGGAAAACGGGATTTCTACCATGGATTCCTGAATAGAACTGCCATGGATTTTTCTAGAATAACTCGAGAGCGAAAAGACATAGAGGGTTCGAGTTTTCAGCATTTTGTAGAGAAGACTTTACTCTATCTTCACTTAAGGTGCCGGCAATGCGAAATTTAAGTAAAAATGTTTTTTTGTCGTTTTTTTACATCATTTGATAGAGTGAGAGTTGCTGATCACGAAAAACAACTTTTTACCTTACACAAATATCTTTTTCAGGTCGGAAAATACGAAAAAATCGAAGTATGTCGTATTTTTCAAAAAA